ACCATTGGGACTAGGCATCCCAAAATACACATATAGGTTTTCAAAGTTTGCAGTAACCACCTCCACAATGTAACAACAGTGCAACAACAGTGACAACAAGGTAGAAAAAGAATAAAATACCTGCCCAAGCTTGAGTTGGAATAGGTGGGTGCCTACCTTTGATGTCTCCTTCACTTGGCAGAGACTGGTCCTGGCGGTGGGTCACGCAGGAAGGTTGCATGATTCTTATTAGCAGTAGTATTTTATTTTTATTCTTTAAAATTGCCATGGCCCAATGATATCAATGATATGGCAGGTTAAATCCTAATGGCCATTCCCTTTGCCGCCCTCTTGTGGACACAGGAATAGTTACCCTTGCCTTGAGATTGTGATCTGCAATCCTTTGCTGCCATCAAGTGGCCAAGTGGGGAAGTGCACCCTTGAGCCATGGAGGGCGCCCCTTTGCTGCCATCATGTGGACATTGTGGAAAATAGCATCACGATTTTATATTTCCCAGCAAAGGAGGAAAGCAAGAAAGAATAATAAAGAAGAGGAGGGGGGGAAATGACAGTAGAAAGGCAAACTGAAAACTTTAAAAGGCACCAAATGGGCAAAAAGGGCCCTGAACATCACTAATTTTGCCTAATTTAGGTATGATTGGCACCCAAAGTGGAACAACAGAGGATTAATCAGGATCGTCCCAGCCAAATTGGGACATTTCTAGATTATATAAATGCAGAAAGATCCAGAATTATTATTATGCCCACTGCCATTGACAATGGTCATTCACATCAACAAGAGCAAATGCTATCCCATAATGCATATATCTGTTTTCAACATTTGCAGAACACCCCTCCCCCCCAACAATGCAACAACAGTTACGACAATGCGGAAAAGGAATAAAAGACCTGCCCAAGCATGAGTTGGAACAGGTGGGTGCCTACCTTTGATGTCTTCTTCACCTGGCTGAGAGACAGTGGTCCTGGTAGTGGATCACGCAGGAAGGTTGCATGACACTTGCGCTCAGAGAGGATGCAGAAAGGCCGCACCCCTCCAGCAAGAGAGGATCCCCTGCATTTAGGGACACACTCTCTCTGCCTTCCTCCCAACAACCGGAAAGAGGGATGTTTGATTGCAGGGACCCCATAAAGAGATCCTGGATGGCAAGCAGGGATATTATTATTATTATTATTATTATTATTATTATTATTATTAATATTATTATTAGAAACACAACAAGATGAGTCCACAGCAGACACTCTGCTGGCTGTTGAATTGGATCACACATCAGACACTTCCCAAATGTCTAGGACTGTGTGATGCATTGGCGAATAATGCGTGCAGATCCCAGTAAGGTGACCTTTTGCAGCTGGCAGATGGTAATTTGGTCAGCGCTGATTGTGTTTAAGTGCAGGCCAAGGTCTTGAGGCACTGCACCCAGTGTGCCAATCACTACTGGGACCACCTTGACTGACTTGTTCCAGAGTCTTTGCAGTTCAGTCTTTAAATCCTCATATCGTGCCAGCTTTTCCTGTTGTTTCTCTGCGATTCTGCTGTTGGCTGGGATTGCAACATCGACGATCTGTACTTTGTTTTTTGACACGAACGTGAGGTCAGGAGTGTTGTGCTGATAATATTATATAATATATATATAATATAATAATATTATTATTATGGCCAGTGTGCCTTATTATTATTATTATGAGCAATGTGCTTTATTATTATTATTGCCAATGTAGCACCCTCTTCTTCTTCTTCTGGCTTATGTGCCATATTATTGTTGTTGTTATTATTATTATTATTTTGGCCAACATCATCATCATTATTATGGCAAATGCATTTCCTTTCCTTTTCCTTCCTGAAAAACATTTCTTCTAAGGTACCAAAACACACACACACGCACACACATATATACACACACACACATACACCTGGAAATAGGTTGTGTGAGAAATACACACACACACACACATCTTTCTCTGACACCTATCCTATTTCCAGGTGCCCTTCTCCCTTGTTCTTCACCTTTTTTCCCTTCTTTTCACAGTATTTCCACCTTTTCTTCAGAAGAAGAAATGTCCAAATCCTATTTTGTCCCAATTTCCCTTTAAAAAAATTCCCTTCAGCTTTTCCTTCCATTTTTCACATTTATCTATTTGTTTCCATTTTTCCTCTGTGGAGAATAAGCTTATTTTTCTGGCTTAATCAGAATCCATTCAAGGTGGTTATGGGTGGAAATAATTCCATATTTTTCCCCTAAAATTGGCCTTTTCTATCTCTTTTCTATATCTATGACTCTTTTCTATATCTATCCCCTATTTCACTCTTTTTTGGGAATTCCAAATATTTCCTTGTCCTAAATTGCACACACAATGGAGGTAAAATAGTTTTCCTCTCAGCACGCGCTACCTCAGAAAGTGCTTATATACCTCCAGGATCCGAGCCTCCCATTGGTCGCCCGACCTGCCAATCATAAAAAGGCGCGCGGAGATTGGTTAGAGTGAAGAATTTAGAACAAGGTGTCGGGCGGGAAAACGCGCGCATGCTAAAGTTGACACCTTTTTGCATCTTAGATTCGTCCCGCCGAAACTCCTCCGAGCCTCCCATTGGTCGCCCGACCTGCCAGTCATAAAAAGGCGCGCGGACATTGGTTAGAGTGAGAAGTTTAGAACAAGGTGTCAAGGAAGAACACACGCGCATGCGCGGATGCTAAAGTTGACACCTTTTTGCGTCTTAGCTTCGTCCCGCCGAAACGCCTCCGAGCCTCCCATTGGTTGTCCGCCCTGCCAATCATAGAAAGGCGCGCGGGTGGGCTGAGTTTAGCATAAGGAGCCGGGGAAACGCGCGCATGCGCAGCGCGACATCTTTGGCAGCTGCGCCCTTTCCCACGCTTTATTGGAATCGGCTGCTGATTGGATCCCGTATTTGGTTCGAAATGACGTCACGGGGCGCCCCCTGCTGGTCTGAGCTGCAACAACTTTCAAAAGAAAGGGACATTGGCCTATCGTGGAGGGCATTATATATAACAGCCAATGTGGAGGACGCCTCGGTGCTGCCATCAGGTGGCCAGGTAGGGAAGTGCACCCTTGAGCTGTGGAGGGCGCCTCGGTGCTGTCATCATGTGGACAGAATGCGAAACTTCTCTCTTGCCTTCCTCATTGGTGGGTTTCTAATATGGAAGTGCTGTTTTCCACAATCTCCACATGATGGCAGCACCGAGGCGCCCTCCACGGCTCACGGGTGCACTTCCCTGCCTGGCCACTTGATGGCGGCAAAGGATCCCAAATCAACCTCAAGGCAAGTGCAATTATTGCTGTGTCCGCAAGAGGGCAGTAAAGGGAATGACCTGCTAGCAACCCAAATAGCCTTGGTAACTGTGGCAACGGCAGCCAGCCCGCCCCCTTTTCGACTTCCCTTGGCCCCGCCCCTCAAGGGGTCACGCGACCGCCCCTCACGTGACCGCGCCCCATTGCCGGCAAAATGGCGGCGCCCTGCCAGACGGTCGTTATGGTAACAGTGCTGCTTTGGGGGGTCTCGCCAGCCGGTAAGGCCCTAAATGGGAGGAACTCTGCCCATGCCCCAGCGAGCTTCCTTCGTGCCTCCTCCCTTCCCACCCGGGGAGTTGCTGTGTGTTTTCTGGGCTGCCTGGCCCTGTTCCAGAAGCATTCTCTCCTGATGTTTCGCCCACATCTGTGGCAGGCATCCTCAGAGTCTGTTGGAAACTAGGAAAATTGGATTTATATATCTGTGGGAGAAAGAACTCTTGTCTGTTGGAGGCAAGTGTGGCTGTTGCAATTGGCCAGCTTGGTTAGCATTAAATAGCCTTGCAGCTTCAAGGTCTGGCTGCTTCCTGCTTGGGGGGATGCTTGGTTTGCTGGTGTTCTTTCTCCCGCCCTGGACGTTATTCTACAGAGATATAAACCCCACTTGCCTAATTTCCAACAGACCGCACGATCTCTGGGGATGCCTGCCATAGATGTGGGTGAAACGTCAGGAGAGAATGCTTCTGGAAGACACACAGCTTGGAAAACTCACAGCAACCCAGTGATTCCGGTCATGAAAGCCTTCGATGATACAGTAAAAAAAGTGTTTGGGGATCCTTTCATCCTAAACAACACAAAAATGTAATGTGTGTGTGTGTGTGTATGTGTGTGTGTGTGTATATATATATATATATATATATATATATATATATATTCTAATTTTAGTGCCCCGGTGGCGCAGTGGGTTAAACCCCTGTGCCGGCAGGACTGAAGACTGACAGGTCACAGGTTCGAATCCAGAGAGAGCGTGGATGAGCTCCCTCTATCAGCTCCAGCTCACCATGCAGGGACATGGGAGAAGCCTCCCACAAGGATGGTGAAAACATCAAAACATCTGGGTGTCCCCTGGGCAACATCCTTGCAGACGGCCAATTCTCTCACACCAGAAGCAACTTGCAGTTTCTCAAATCACTCCTGACCTGACAAAAAAAATGCACTGATTTTGTTTTACATTTGTGTCATGTCAGGTTTGTTGTTGGCCACCTTCATTCCTGATATTGGGAGAAAAGCAGAATACTAATAATAATAATAATAGTAATAATAATAGTTTATTCCCTGCCTCTCCCTGCGGCTTGAGGTATTATTATTATAATAAAAATGATTAATAATAATAATAGTTTCTTCCCTGCCTCTCCCTGCGGCTTGAGGTATTATTATTATTATTATTATTATTAATCATTTTTATTCTGCTTTTCTCCCAATATCAGGAATGAAGGCGGCCAACAACAAACCTGACATGACACAAAACACATATACATAGACTGGGCCACAGCAACACATGGCAGGGGATGGCTAGTAAATAAATAAACTTCTTTTAAGAGAGGAAAAAGTGGGATATTAATAATAATAATAATAATAATAATAATAATAATTTCTTCCCCGCCTCTCATTGCAGCTTGAGGTATTATTAATATTAATAATAATAATATCCCACTTTTTCCTCTCGCAAAGAGGTTTATTTATTTACTAGCCATCCCCTACCATGCTTGCTGTGGCCCAGTCTATGTATATGTGTTTTGTGTGTGTATGTATATGTATATATGTGGTTTTACACATGTGTTGTAATGTAATTTTTATTTTTTGGCTTTTTAAGTCTCTTCCGCTGTGTTTTTCAGTGTGTTTATGAGTGATGGTAACTCCTTGGCTTGAAAGGTGTCTTGTGTCCAAATTTGGTGTCAATTCATCCAGTGGTTTTTGAGTTATGTTAATTCCACAAACGAACATTACATTTCTATTTATATAGATTATTATTATTATTATTATTATTATTATTATCATTAACGTATAGGCCAGCACTGTGCCTGCACCTCCCTGCCTTTTCCTTTTATTGGGGGATTGATTTCTGCTCATTTTGAATCCAGCTTGGCTCTTTTTTCAGCTTTCAGGACCCTCCAGACGGACTTTGAAGAGAAATATTTCGAACAGTGGTTGGATCACTTCAATTTCGAAAGCTACAGCAACAGGACCTTTCCCCAGAGATATCTCATCACAGGTATACTGCCACATAAAATCCAGATTGTCTGCTTTGAACTGGATTATATGACAGCATAGAAGTGATCTTAGTAGACCATTTTCTGTCCCACCCAGATAAATATTGGAAAAGAGGAAACGGGCCTATCTTTTTTTACACCGGAAACGAGGGAGATGTCTGGGGCTTTGCTCAGAACTGCGGCTTCATCTTGGAACTCGCCGGGCAGCAGGGCGCTCTGGTGGTATTTGCGGAGCATGTGAGTGTCTTCATTGGTGTCTCGTCATTAGACCTTTGCTTTTGGTGGTCAAGATGGTGTTTGAGGCGTTTCTCTGTAGGAATAATGTGTCTCAGGTGAAATAATAGAGAGACAATTTACCTAGCTTTAGTAGAAAAGTCCCTCACAAAGGATCCATGGTCTGGAGAACATGCCATATGAGGAGTGGCTTGAAGAGCTGGGTATGTTTAGCCTGCAGCAGAGAAGGTTGAGAGGAGACATGATGAGGGCTAAGTATAAATATGCGAGGAGAAATCATAGAGAGGAGGGAGCAGGCTTCTTTTCTGCTGTCCTAGAGACTAGGACGCAATGGAACAATGGCTTCAAACTACAGGAAAGGGAGGAGATTCCACCTGAACATTAGGAAGGACTTCCTAACTGTGAGACCTGTTCAGCAGTGGAACGGAGTGTGGTGGAGGCTCCTTCTTTGGAGGCTTTGAAGCAGAGGCTGGATGGCCATCTGTTGGGGTGCTTTGAATGCAATTTTCCTGCTCCTTGGCAGAACGGGGTTGGACTGGATGGTCCATGAGGTCTCTTCCAACTCTATGATTCTAATTAAAGGAGCAGAGTCAAACTTTGAAAGTTACAAAAGACTGTATTGAAAGAATTAAACGCTACTTTGCGGTTCACTTTTTGTGGACTCACTGTTTTGCAGGTTTTTGCCTCCTGGCAACAATGGAGCATGAAAGAGGCAGACAATCATAAAAGCAGTATGTAAATTACGGCCTTATAGCCCCTTCCTTATAGCTAGCAAAAAAAAAAAAAGGTACACTGTACCTTTAAATCTCTCCTTGCTTCTGCCTCAGCCTCGGGATGCTATATATATATATATATATATATATATATATATATATATATATATATATAATATCACATTTGTATCCCACCCTTCTCACCCCGAAGAGGACTCAGGGCAGCTCACAACAAAGGTGCAAGTCGCTGCTTTGAATACATATAAAAATAAAACAACATATACCTTTAAATCACATAATTAAAACATATCACTTAAAACAATTACTTAAAACCACCGTTTAGGTAACTATGTATTTTATAAATGAAACTGTTAACAAAAATATCATTTATGATAAATATTTACAAATAAAGCCCCAGTTATACAAAATGCATGTTTTGGTAATGTAAAGAAATGAAAATAAGCAGTATACATAGTAAAAAGGAATAGCAACAAAGACTTAATATTGGCACTATTAGCTTCTCCCATTTGGAAAATATATATAGAGAGAGAGAGAGAAAGAGAGAGCGTCCCTACTTCACGGGTTTTCACTTTTCACGGGTGGTCCTAGAACGTAACACCCGCGATAAGTGAGGGAACACTGTACACTCTATATGAGAAAGTTAGGGCCTCGATAACTGTCTTTCTGGAAACATCGTATCTCCCTCCATGCTCACAGGAGAACAAAATGTGTGTCTAGAACAGGGGTCCCCAAACTTTTTAAACAGAGGGCCAGGGCACAGTCCCTCAAACTGTTGGAAGGCCGGATTATAATTTGAAAAAAATAAATAAATGAATTCCTATGAATACTGTTCAAACGCATCTCTCTTTACGTCCCATCTCGGAGTCTGAGATCCTCTGGGGAGGCCCTGCTCTCGACCCCGCCTCTGTCACAAGTGAGATTGGCGGGGACGAGGAGCAGGGCCTTCTCAGTGGTGGCCCCTCACCTATGGAATTCACTCCCCGGGGAGATCAGATCAGCAACATCCCTCCTTTCATTCAGAAAAAAATTAAGAGACATGGATGTGGGACCAGGCGTTTGGGCAATCTGGCAGATGAATAAAGGACTGTGACGATAGATAGGAACTGGACAAGGTAGAGCGAAATATGAATTCTGAGCTGGCGAACGCTGTGTCTGAGATTGGCTATTGATTGTGTGATATATTGTTGTTTTTAATTGTTTTAATTGTTGACCATTTAATTGCTGGTTTTATATGTTATTGTATTTGTGTAGGCACCAAGATGTGCCTTTTGTAAGCCGCCCTGAGTCCCCCCTCGGGGGTTGAGAAGGGCGGGGTATAAGTACACGAAATAATAAAAATAATAATAAATAATAAATACTGCACATATTTGTAGTGCAAAAAACACTTAAAAACAATACAATAATTAAAATGAACACTTTTAAGAAATATAAACTTACTAGCCATCCCCTGCCATGTGTTGCTATGGCCCAGTCTGTGTATATGTGTTTTGTGTGTGTATATATGTGTATGCATGTGTATATATTTGTGTATATGTGTAGATATGTGTGTTTGTGTGTATATGTGTGGTTTTGCGCATGCGTTGTAATGTATTATTTATTTTTTGGCTTTATAAGTCCCTTCCGCTGTGTTTTTATGAGTGATGGTCACTCGTTGGCCTGATAGGTGTCTTGTGTCCAAATTTGGTGTCAATTCGCCCAGTGGTTTTTGATTTATATTCATCCCACAAACGAACATTACATTTTTATGTATATAGATTAGTATTTCAGTGTGGGCCTGCTTTTGGCTGATGAGATAAGATTGTTGTTGTTGTTGTGTGCTTTCAAGTCATTTCAGACTTAGATTGGTCCTGAGCGAGGGCTGGGTAAATGACCTTGGAGGGCCGTATCCGGCCCTTGGGCCTTAGTTTAAGTGAATCTGTAGCTTTCTGACAAAGAAATTACTTCATGAACAAAGTTGGGAGGCTTTTAATTCAAAAGTATACATTTGAGTACGAAACAAAATTCCAACTGACAGTTTATTTTCCTCATGCCTCACCCTGATCTAGAACCTCTGAAAAAAAAGAGGCATGTCCCTGAGAAGTATCAGTAACAAGCAGAAGTAGGTGGAGAGAATAGAGAGAGAGGCATACAAAGAGGGCTATGGAGGAAAGGCTTTCCCTGCCAGCTAATTCATCTCTCTATTTCCTTGATGAGTACTATCAACTTGAGCTACACAAATCTAGGAAACACAGGTCACACCAAGGCAGCAGGCCCACAACCTATGGTTCCTTCTGCCCCGAATGGCTTTGTATCCAAGTTCTGACGCTTCTTCCCTTCCAATATTCTCATGGTCTCTTCAGAGGTACTATGGGAAATCCCTCCCATTTGGAGCCGCCTCACTGCAGAGGGAGAACGCAGGCCTGCTGAGCGTGGAACAAGCCTTAGCCGACTACGCTGTCCTCATTGCAGCACTGAAGGAACAGTACGGGGCGAGGGATGCGCCGGTCATTGCTTTTGGAGGCAGGTGAGTCTGTTCCTCTTCCTCCCTTGGCCGTTTCCCCAGAGCGGCTGGTGGGATATTTTCCCCATTCTTTGGACCAATAAAACAATGTATTTTTCATACTGGTGAGAACAAATATTTCACCATGAAAATGTCTTGGGACTTGGGGTGTTTACGCACATACATCATTAGCTAAAGGCTTAGACGACAGGCTGATCAAGTTTGAAGATGACACCAAATTTGGACTGATAGTTGATCCATCAGAAAATAAGATCAGGACCCAAGATGACCTCATTTAGTTATTTATTTATCTAGAGTATTTATATTCTCATCCTGAAGGGGACTTAGGGCAGATCACAGAACACATTCAATGCTTTTATACACTGATAAGACAGACAACTGTACATAGATATATATAGGCTTTTCCCATCTGTGGCATCTTGGAGGCTGTGCTTGGTTCCAACCACAGGATGGTGCTGTCACTCCATCTTCCTTGCTTTGTTCATAAACTTCCTCCTTGATCAAATTGCCAGCATTTTTCTGGCATTTCCTTATGAGTGCCTTAATACGTCCCCACTTTTAAGTGATACCTATTTATCTACTTACATTTGCTTTTGAACTTCTAGGTAAGCAGAAGCTAGGCTAAAGGCCAGTTGCTCACCACGGCCCAGGCTTTGAATTGTCATCCTTTGGATTAGCAAGTTTTTCTGCAGCTGGCGGTTAACCTGCTGTTCTAAAGCCCGACCCGACCTCAGCAGGTTAGAGAGCTGAGTGGCCAAAACTAACAGAGGAGGCTCCTTGTTTGGAGGCTTTGAAGCAGAGGCCAAATTGCCATCTGTCGGCGGAGCTTTGATTGTGCTTTTCCCACCTGGCAGAAGGGGGCTGGACTGGATGTCCCTTGACATCCGGATCTGTAGCTTTCTGGTGAAGAAATTACTTCACGAACAAAGTTGGAAGGCTTTTAATTCAAAAGCATACAGTTGGGTAAAAAACAAAATTCCAACTGACAGTTTATTTCCCTCACGCTTCATCCTGACCCCTCCCCTTCATTGCTCCCGTTTCCATGGCAACCCTCTCTCACAGGCCAGATATAAGGCATGGTCTAATTTCCTGGCTTCACACAAAACCAGGAAATAAGGTCATGACACTTAGGGGTCACTTCCAACTCTTATGATTCTGTGAAATCAGCATCCAAGAACAGAAGCGGGGGGAAAGATTTCAGCCAGTTGCTTTCCCAACTAAGTGTATCTGTAGCTTTCTGGCAAAGAAATTACTTCACAAACAAAGTTGGGAGGCTTTTAATTCAAAAGCATACATTTGTGTATGAAACAAAATTCCAACTGACAATTTATTTCCCTCATTCCTCACCCTGGTTCTTCCCCTTCACTGCTCCCATTTCCATGGCAACCCTTTCCCTTATTTCAAATATACACAGGCCAGATCTAAGGCATGGTCTAATTTCCTGGCTTCAAACAAGACCAGGAAATAAGGTCATGACACTCAGGGGTCTCTTCCAACTGTTCTGATTCTGTGAAATCAACATCCAAGAACAGAGATGGAGGAAAGGTTTGAGCCAGCTGCTTTCCCAGTTAAGTAGCTTTCTGGCGAAGAAATTACCTCACGAACAAAGTTGGGAGGCTTTTAATTCAAAAGCATACATTTGGGTACGAAACAAAATTCCAACTGACTTTATTTTCCTCACGCCTCACCCCTGGCCCCTCCCCTTCATTGCTCCTGTTTACATGGCAACCCGCTCCCTTATTTCAAATATACACAGGACAGATCTAAGGCATGGTCTAATTTCCTGGCTTCACACGAAACCAGGGAGCAAGGTCATGACACTTAGGGGTCTCTTCCAACTCTTGTGATTCTGTGAAATCAACATCTAAGAACAGAAGCGGAGGAAAGATTTCAGCCAGCTGCTTTCCCAATTAAGTGAATCTGTAGCTTTCTGGCAAAGAAATTACTTCACAAACAAAGTTGGGAGGCTTTTAATTCAAAAGCATACATTTAAGTATGAAACAAAATTCCAACTGACAGTTTATTTTCCTCACGCCTCACCCTGGCCCTCCATTGCTCCCGTTTCCATGGCAACCCCTCTCCCTTATTTCAAATATACACAGATCTAAGGCATAGTCTAATTTCCTGGCTTCACACGAAACCAGGGAATAAGGTCATGACACTTGGGGGTCTCTTCCAACTCTTCTGATTCTGTGAAATCAGCATCCACGAGCAGAGGAGGAGGAAAGATTTCAGCTAGCTGCTTTCCCTTTTGCAAGGTCCAACACATTGCCTGACTCTTACTTTTTCTTCCTGGCTCTGCAGTTACGGCGGGATGCTCAGCGCATACCTGAGGATGAAGTACCCCAATGTTGTCGCCGGCGCACTGGCCGCCAGCGCCCCTGTGCTGTCCGTGGCTGGGATCGGAGGCTCCAGCCAATTCTTTCAGGATGTCACCGCAGTAAGGAAGACAGTCTGGTTGGTCTCCCATCCTCCCTCGGCTCTTAAGTCCGCATTCTCAGTTCACAGGAACTCTGTGAATCTGCAAACTAGCAGCAGTTTGGCCTGAATCTGAGTCGGGACTGTGGTCTCTTTCATCCAGGATTTCCAGAACTACAACCCGGCCTGTTCTCAAGGTGTGCGGGACGCATTCCGGCAGATCCAAGACCTATTCTTGGTTGGAGGTAAAGCAAACGCATGTGCCTAATGAAAAGTTGCTCCCTTCCAGCAGTTCCAGTTTAAAGTGATAGATTGATGGGATTATTGATGGCTTTGAGGTGGGAAGTCTATTTTAATTTTTATTATTATGTTCTCAATGGGAGAGGTGGGGGAAATAAGTTCAGATGGATCTCTATAGCGATATAAGTCAGAGAGGAGGAAATTATAGTATTTACAAATTGTATGATGATGTCCCCGGTGGTGCAGCGGGTTAAACAATATAATACTACTAATAATAATACCATGTTATAATTATATATTTTATGTTACATGTAATATTACTAATAATATTACAATATAATGGGGTAGTACAATATAGTAATATATAATACTAATATTGTACTATGCTAATAATTGAATATATTGTGTGTGTGTGTGTATGTATGTATATATACATATACATGTATATATATATATTGTAAGCCGCTCTGAGTCCCCTTTGGGGTGAGAAGGGCGGCATAGAAATGTTGTGGGTAATACTACTAATAATAATTCAATGCTATAATTATATATTTTATAGTACATGTAATATTACTAATAATATTACAATATAATGGTGTACTACTATATAGTAATATATAATACTGATATTGTACTATGCTAATAATTTAATATATATTGTGTGTGTGTCTATATATATATATATATATATATATATATATATATATATATATATATAGTAAGCCGTTCTGAGTCCCCTTTGGGGTGAGAAGGGCGGCATAGAAATGTCGTGGGTTAAACAATATAATACTACTAATAATAATACACTGCTACAATTATATATTTTATATTATATGTAATATTACTAATAATATTATAACGTAATGAGGTAGTACAATATAGTAATATATAATACTGATATTGTACTATGCTAATAATTTAATATATTGTATGTGTGTGTGTATATATATATATATATATTGTAAGCCACTCTGAGTCCTCTTTGGGGTGAGAAGGGCAGTATAGAAATGTCATAAATAAATAAATAATAATAAACCGCTAAGCTGCTGTACTTGCTGACCGAAAGGTCACAGCCAGGAAGCAGGATGAGCTCCCGCTGTCAGCCCCAGCTTCTGCCAACCTAGCATCTCCTACGTCCCACCTCGTAACTTAAGATCATTCGGGGAGGCCTTGCGCTCGCTCCCACCAACATCACAAATGCTGCTGGTGGGGATGAGAGACAGGGCCTTCTCCATGGTGGCCCCCCGCCTGTGGAACGTGCTTCCGAGCGAGATACGATCAATCCCATCCTTCCTGGCTTTCAGGAAGAAAGTAAAATCATGGTTATCGGACCAGGCTTTCAGTAAGCAGACATAAATTAGCACTTTAGTGCAAATTGATTGGAAAGGCGATTTACATGAGGATACGATTCTATTTGGTAACAAACGTTTTTATATTGTTTAATTAATGTATTATTTATTTTTAATTATAATATATAATAATTATATATAATATTTTAATTATGTATTTTATGTATTTTAATGGTTTGCTGGTTTGTTTAGTGGTTATTGTATTAATTGTTCATGTAACGGCATCGAATTGCTGCCTATGTAAGCCGTCCTGAGTCTCCCTTTTGGGGTAGAGAAGAGACTATTATAAATACCAGAAATAAACATGCAAATGTGAGTAGATCAATAGGTACCGCTTCTGCGGGAACTGGAAGGTAATGGCGCTCCATGCAGTCATGACCTTGGAGGTATCTATGGACAACGCCAGCTCTTTGGCTTAGAAATGGAGATAGGCACCACCCCTCAGAGTCGTACACGACTGGACTTAATGTCAGGGGAAAATATTTCCTTACCCTTATTGCTGGAAAAAAAATATAGAATTTTAAAAGACCGAAATATGAGCTGCTATTCCTCTTTTTTCCTAGCGTACGAGGAAATCAGCCACAGAATGTCTACTTGCGAGAAGCTTTCTTCCAAGGAAGACGTCTACCAGCTCTTTGAGTTTGCCCGGAATGCCTTCACCATGATCGCCATGATGGACTACCCCTACAAGACGGATTTCATGGGCCACTTCCCGGCCAACCCTGTCAAGGTAAGGCGTGTGGGTCTCAAGTATGTTGAGCGACCCTTGGACTGCTGGTTGGGTGAGAGGCAAAGAACACTTCCATCCTGACCTAGCGCTATACCTCTTTGGATTATACTGAGGCTCTTCCTGCCCTGAAAGAACTTGCTCTTGGGTCCTCTATACCTGTCTCGAAACCTGACCTGTGTGTATGTATGTGTGTGAACACAGGTTGGGTGTGAGCTGATGCTGGCCAGCAAGGACCCGGTCAGAGGCCTGGCAGCCCTTTGTGGTGAGTAGTCATGCAGACCTTCAGTGTCCTTCTGAAGGAGGTTGGGGCATTCGCTTGACAACAGTCCATTTGTGAAGAAAGAGATCTTGGAGTCTTAGTGGGCCACAAGCTGGACATGAGCCAACAGTGTGATGCAGCGGCTAAAAAGGCCAAGATGATTCTGGTCTGCATCAAAAGGAGTCTAGAGTCTAGATCAGGGGTCCCCAAACTACGGCCCGCGGGCCACTTCCGGCCTGCCAAGGGCACTTATCCGGCCCACGGAGGAAGAGCGCCCTCCCCCACGCAGTGCCCCTCCCTTGGCTGGCTCACGCTGCCCATCAGGCCTGACGGATAGCGTGAGCCAGCCAAGGGCAGCTGCTCTGCGTGGCCTACTCGCACAGAACGCACCTCGCAAGGTGCTTTACGTGTGAGTAGGCCGCGCGGGGCTGCTCCTCCCTTGGCAGGCTCATGCTGCCCATCGGGCCTGACGGACAGTGCTCCATGCAGTCATGCCAGCTACATGACCTTGGATGTGTCTCCGGACAACGCCGGCTCTTCGGCTTAGAAATGGAGATGAGCACCACACCCCAAAGTTGGACACGACTGGACTTCATGTCAGAGGAAAACCTTTAACTAGGAAAATTGTGGAAGATCCAGGGTGGGAGAAAGAACTCTTGTCTGTTGGAGGTAGGTATGAATGTTTCAATTGGCCACCTTGATTACCATTTCATAGCCTGACAGTTTTTAGGGAGAATCCTTTGTTGAGAGGTGATTAGCTGGCCCTGATTGTTTCTTGTCTGGAGTTCCCCTGTGTCTAAGTGTTGTTCTTTATTTACAGTTATAATTTTAGAGTATTTTTAATACTGGTAGCCGGACTAGAAATAGGAAGATTTCCCATTCTCTGCTCCTGGAATTACTGCCTAAAGAGGGCTAGAAAGAACCCCCTCTAAGGGCCCTTCCACACAGCAAAATAAGTTATGTGCAATGTGCAGAGGAAAAACTATAGTCCGGCCCTCCAGCGGTCTGAGGCACAGTGAACTGGCCCCTGGTTTAAAACGTTTGAGGACCCCTGGTCTAGATGGAGGGAAGTCGTGCGGCTCTCAGTTCAGCTTTATTGGGTTGCTGTAATTTTTCTCGGGCTGTTGGGCCAGGTTCCAGAAGCATTCTCTCCTGACATTTCGCCTGCATCTATGGCAGGCATCGTCAGAGATTGTAAGTTATATTGGAAACTAGGCAAGTGGGGTTTATATATCTGTGGAATAATGTTCAGCGTGTGAGAAAGAACTCTTGTCGGCTTGAGGCAAGTGTGAATGTTGCAATGAGCCGCCTTGATTAGCATCAAATAGCTTTGCAGCTTCAAAGCCTGGCTGCTTCCTGCGTGGAGGAATCCTTGGTTTGGAGGTGTTGTTATTTATTTATCATGTCAGGAGTGAATCAAACAGTTGTATTTTATTAAAAACACATACACACACAAAGTTTAAAATATCCTTTGACCAGTAGCTGGCCACTTGGAGTGTCTCTGGTGTCGCTGTGAGAAGGTCCTCCATTGTGCATGTGGCAGGGCTCAAGTTGCATTGTAGTAAGTGGTCTGTGGTTTGCTCTTCTCCACACTCACATGTTGTGGACTCCACGTTGTAGCCCTATTTCTTAAGGTTGCCTCTTTATCTTGTGGTGTCAGAGCACAGTCTGTTCAATGCCTTCCAAGTCGCCCAGTTTTCTGTGTGTCTCATTTGGTTCTGGGTTTTCGCCTGCCACTTTTGGACTCTTGCTTGCTGAGGTGCGGGTATCTCTGTAGAACTTAGAAAACTATTTCTTGATTTAAGTCATTGGCGGAGATGGGCTGGAGATGTCACTGCCTTGGTCCTTTCACTATTGGTTGCTACTTCCCAGCGGATGTCAGGTGGTGCAATACTGGCAAAACAGTGTAATTTCTCCAGTGGTGTAGGGCTCACACAGCCTGTGATAATGCGGCATGTCTCATTAAGAGCCACATCCTTTGTTTTAGTGTGGTGAGATGTGTTCCACACTGGGCATGCGTACTCAGCAGCAGAGTAGCCAAGCGCAACGGCAGATGCCTTCACTGTGTCTGGTTGTGATCCCTAGGTTGTGCCAGTCAGCCTTTGTATGATATTATTCCCAGCACCCACTTTTTGTTTGATAGTCAAAGAGTGCTTCTTGCAAGTCAGAGCACAGTCCAGGGTGACTCCCAAGTAGTTGCTGTTGTGAAACTTCTTGTTTAACAGTGGAACTCTCTGCCTCCGAGTCTGGTGGAGGCTCCTTTAGAGGCAATTAAGCAACGACTGGATGGCCATATGTCGGCGGGGCTCTGATTGTGCTTTTGCTGCCTGGCAGAAGGGTCTTGCCCTGGATGGACCATGAGGTCTCTTCCAACTGAATCATTCTATGATGTGGAAAAATCCCACTGTTTACATGTCAGTTGGGGCTTCAGACCACATGTTCCTTCTGAATCTCTCTCCCAGCTTGGGCTGTGCGTGTTGAGCCAGTTGAGGGAGGATTTCTTCCTTCTGCTGACCAGTGGCTCCTCTTCACCCATCTGTTTGCGCATGACCCAATATGGGAGGTGGACAAAACAGGAAGCGTGGTCCGCCAGGGCCACAGGGAGGGACCCCACCTTCCCAAATACTTTTTGGCTTGGATTGCAGATGAAGACGTCCTCCTCTTTGCTCCGGTGGCACAACGACCCACCCCCCGTGATGTACAGTTGTTGCTGGTGTGCGGCGAGGCCAAACTGGCAGAGGTCAAAATCAGGGAGGTCTAGCAGGGTCCACTGGTCAGAAACTGGGCAGTAGGACTCCGTCTTGCAGACAGGAACCCATTCCCCGGCCTGTAACAAATCAGAAAGAGCAGAGATGTAGGATTTGGTTACCTATCCAGAATAAAGGGGCAAGTGCAGGGGAGAGGAGCCAATTCTATTGTCGGTGGGATTCATAATGTTCTTTGATTGTAGGTGAACTATAAATCCCAGCAACTACAACACCCAAATGTCAATGTCTATTTCCCCCAAACTCCACCAGTGTTCACATTTGGGCATATTGAGTATTGGTGCTCATTATGTATTTTATCCAGATCCATCATTGTTTGAGTCTGGATGAAGGTGAACTACAACTCCTTCAAAACTCACATGGGTGGCCCACATGGGGGCTCTGTGTGGGAGGTTTGGCCCAATCCTATCGTTGGTGGGGTTCAGAATGCTCTGTTATTGTAGGTGAACTATAAATCCCAGCAACAACAACTCCCAAATGTCAAGGTCTATTTCCTCCCAACTCCACCAGTGTTCACATTTGGGCATACTGAGTATTAGTGCCAAGTCTGGTCGCGATCCATCAAAGGTGAACTACAACTCCCAAACTCAATGCCCACCAAACTCTTCCAGTATTTTCTGTTGATCATGGGGGTTCTGTGTGGGAATTTGGGCCCAATTCTATTGTCGGTGGGGTTCAGAATGCTCTTTGATTGTACGTGAACTATAAATCCCAGCAACTACAACTCCCAAATGTCAATGTCTATTTCCCCCAAACTCCACCAGTGTTCACATTTGGGCATATTGAGTATTTGTGCTCAATATGTATTTTGTCCAGATCCATCATTGTTTGAGTCTAGATGAAGGTGAACTACAACTCCTTCAAAACTCAAAATCAATCCCCACTAAACCCTTCCAGTATTTTCTGTTGGTCATGGGAGTTCTGTGTGCCAAGTTTGGATCAATTCCATCATTGGTGGAATTCAGAGTGTTCTTTAATTGTAGATGAACTATTAATCCCAGCAAAGACAACTCCCTAGTCTATTTCCCCCCAACTCCACCAGTGTTCACATTTGGGCATATTGAGTATTAGTGCCAAGTCTGGTTGTGATCTGTCATAGGTGAACTACAACTCCCAAACTCAAGGTCAATGCCCACCAAACCCTCCCAGTTTTTTCTGTTGATTGTAGCAGTTCTGTGTGGGAATTTGGGCCCAATTCTATCGTTGGTGGGGTTCAGAATGCTCTTTGATTGTAGGTGAACTATCAATCCTAGCAATTACGACTCCTAAATGACCAAATTAATCCCCCTCCCCAACCCCACAAGTATTCAAATGTGGGCATATTGGGTATTTGTGCCAAATTTGGTCCAGTGAATGAAAATCCATCCTGCATATCAGATATTAACACGACAATTCATAACAGGAGCAAAATAGCAACGACAACAATGTTATGGTTGGGGGTCACCACAACAGGAGGAACTGTATTAAGGGGTCACAGCATTAGGAAGGTTGAGAACCACTACTTGAAGCCAACTTGCATTGTTCAGGGCCCGTCCTCCGACGCAGAGGAGCCTGTCCTCGAGGGCGGCCATCCCGTGGTTGCAGCGAGCAAAGGTCATGGGCCGGTTCTTAACCCACCGGCGCAGACGGGAGAGGTAGCTATAGACGTCGGGCGAGGTTTTCCCTCTCGCAAACCCTCCTGTTTGGATGAGAGAAAAGTGAAGACTAAAATGATCAAGGGTCTGGAGAACAAGCTCTATGAGGAGCGGCTTAAAGAGCTGGGCATGTTTAACCTGAAGAAGAGAAGGCTGAGAGGAGACACGAGGAGGGCCATGTATAAATATGTGAGAGGAAGTCATAGGGAGGAAGGAGTGAACTTGTTTTCTGCTGCCCTGGAGACTAGGATGCAATAGAGCAGTGGTTCTCAACCTTCCTCATGCTGTGACCCCTTAATACAATTCCGCATGTTGTGGTGAACCCCAACCATAAAATTATTTTCGTTGCTACTTGATAACTGTCATTTTGCTACTGTTATGAATCATAATGTAAATATCTGATATGCAGGATGTATTTTCATTCACTGGACTGATATGCCCAAATTTGAATACTGGTGGGGTTGGGGGGCGGGGTTGAGTTTGCCATTTGGGAGTTGTAGTTGCTGGGATTTATAGTTCACCTGCAATCAAAGATCATTCTGAACTCCACCAACGATGTAATTGGGCCAAACTTGGCACACAGAACTCCCATGACCAACAAAAAATACTGGAGGGGTATGGTGGGCATTTACCTTGAGTTTTGGAGTTGTAGTTAGCCTACATCCAGAGACCATTGTGGACTCAAACAATGATGGATCTGGATTAAACTTGGCACAAATACTCAATATGACCAAATGTGAACACTGGTGGAGTCTGGGTAAAATAGTCCTTGACATTTTGGGAGTTGTAGTTGCTGGGATTTATAGTTCACCTACAATCAAAGAGCATTCTGAACCCCACCAATGATAGAATTGGGCCAAACTTCCCACACAGAACCCCCATGACCAACAGAAAATACTGTGTTTTCTGATGGTCCTTTGTGACCCCTCTGACACTCCCTCGTGACCCCTCCAGGGGTCCCGACCCCAAGGTTGAGAACCACTGCAATAGAGCAATGGCTTCAAACTACAAGAAAGGAGATTCCACCTGAACCTTATAATATTATAATGTAAAACAATATAATGCTACTACTACTACTACTACTACTACTACTAATAATAATAATAATAATAATAATAATAATAATATGATATTATAATTATATATTTTATATGACATGTAATATTACTAATAATATTACAATATAATGGTATACTACAATATAATAATATATAGTACTGATATTGTACTATGCTATACTAATAAATTAATATATTGTATGTATATATATCTTCTAAGCCGCTCTGAGTCCCCTTCGGGGTGAGAAGGGCGGCATAGAAATGTCCTAAATAAATAAATTTCTCTAGGGCAGCAGAGCCTCAGGCCCATTAAAGTGCCAGTGCCTCACCCGATACGTAGAGGATCCCTTTGTGGGTGGCTCCCGCGTGGTCAGCGATGGGCACCGGGAAAGGTGTGATGCTGCGCCATTGGTTCTTGGCCGGACGGTACTCCTCTGCTGTATCAGTGAGGGTCCCCAGCAACGTTCCTCCTCCCACGGCCACCAGGCGGTCATTCAAAGCCCCCGCGTGGAAACGTGTACGCCGCCCCTGCATGCCGGCCACCTGGAGCCACGTCTGGAACCGGGGGTCAAACCGGACCACCTGGAGTTGGAAATTAGGGAAAAGATAGGGATGAATGTGGAAGAAAGAAGGAACAAAGAAGCAAGGAAAAAGAGGAAAGCCTAGAATCCAAGACTCGGAAGAGACCCCAAGGGCCACACAGTCCGACCCCCTTCTGCCAGGCAGGAAGACACTGAAAAACACAGCGGAAGGGACTTAAAAAGCCAAAAAAGCCAAAAGATGCTAGAGCGACTGTGCCAAAACGACTCTCTCTGGCAAACAGAACACACAATAGCATATCCACACTCTCTTCCGGACTACAGCTCCCAGCATCCCCCTAGACCAGGCCCTTTAGGAGAGGAGGAGGATCCAAGTGCACTGGTTCCAAGATGCAAGCTTTCTTCTCCGTGGATTTCTTTGAGAGCATCCCAATCCCTGCATATTTCCTATTCCTGGACTGTAACTTCCAGCAATCCTCCAAATAGATAGATTAGATAGAGATAGAGAACCTACATGATCTCTTCGATCATCTGGAGAGGCCCTGCTCGCTCCCGCCTCCTTCGCAGGCGCGATTGGTGGGGACGAGGGAGAAGGCCTTCTCGGTGGTGGTCCCCCGACTCTTGAACTCACTTCCCAGGGACATTAGGCATGCCCCAACATTGGCAGTCTTTAGGAGGAGTCTGAAAACGTGGCTGTTCCAGTGTGCCTTCCCAGAATAAGGAAAATTCCCAAAAATATGTCCTCAGAATGCACTTTACCACTTTACTACTGGTTTAAGATTGACTACGCTCCCTGTGCTCTTTTAAAACCCTATACCAGATATATCCTACCTTGTTCATGACCAGTGTTTATTTTAAAATTTTTAAACTATTACATTTGGCCCGGCCATAGGTTTTTTAATCCTTGTGTGTTATTGTTAATTGGTTATTGTTTGTATGTGATTTATATTAATTGTATTTATTGTTTTTGTTTATTGCTTTTTTGTTTTTATTGATGTGTTGTTGGGCTTGGCCTCATGTAAGCCGCTCCGAGTCCCTCGGGGAGATGGTGGCGGGGTATAAATAAAGTATTATTATTATTATTATTATTATTATTATTATTATTATTATTATTATAGAGATAGGTAGGTAGATAGGTAGGTAGATTGATCAGGAGGACTGCTGGGAGTTGCAGTCCAAGAATAGGTAGAGAAGGGAGAAAGAGGAAGGGAAAGAAAAGGGGAGAAGGAAGGGAAGAGGAAGAGAAGGAAGGAAGGAGAGAAGGAAAGAAAAAGAGGGAAGGAGAGAAAGAGGGAGGGAACGCGTGGCAGGTACATCTAGCAAAAGATTTTTTTTGTCATGTCAGAAGCGATGAGAAACTGCAAGTCGCTTCTGGTGTGAGAATTGGCCATCTGCAAGGATGTTGCCCAGAGGACGCCCGGACGTTTTTGATGTTTTACCACCCTTATAGGAGGCTTCTCTCATTTCCCCGCATGGGGAGCTGGAACTGATAGAGGGAACTCATCCACACTTTCCTCGGATTCGAACCTGTCGGTTTTCAGTCCTGCCGGCACAGGGGTTTAACCCACTGCGCCACAAGGGGCTACTACTACTGCTACTATTATTGTTGTTATCTAGATATATAAAATTGGAAAGGGCATTCAACGGGACAGCAAAACGCGAAAAAACCCCGACGAAAACTCACCAAATTTGCCGTGCACATACCTCAACCCACAAGGTATGCACGACACTCATCAAAATTCCAAACAACATTTCAACAAACTCACAATTACAAAAACCAACTGAGCATGCGCAGTGCCCAGGGGAGGAAGTACACACGCAAGGCACTCTGGGAACTGTAGTTCTAGAACGCGGCCTTCCCGCTGACGCTGAAGCCCCGGCCTGGGAGTTGGAGCTCGGCTGGCTGTGCTCGCTGGGGGCCAGGATGCTGCGCAACCAGCGGAGGCTGCCCGGGAGGCCCCCGCTGCGCACCTTCCTGGCTGGGCCGGGAGAGGCCGCGGCCTGGCTCTGCCGAAGACAGCCCATCGGCCACCGCAACGACCGGCCCAGTCCGCCCCCACACACCGCCGTCTGGCTCCACCATCGGTGAGAAAGAGGAAGGAGGGAAGGAAGCGGGAGAGGGAAGGAAGGACGGAAATGAGGGGAAGGGGTGTAAATAGGAAGGAAGGAAGGAAGAAAAGAAGGAAAGAAAGAAAAGTGGGAAGGGGAAGGGAAGGTGTAGGAAGGAAGGAAGGAAGGAAGGAAGGAAGGAAGAAGGAAGGAAGGAAGGGAGAAGGAGAAGGTATATGAAACAAGAGGAAGAAAGAAAGAAGAAAGGAGAGAATGAGGATGGGAAAGAAGGAGAAAGAAGGAAGAAGGAGGAAGGAAGGAAGAAGGAAGGAAGGAAGGAAGGAAGGAGGAAGGGATGAAGGAAGAGGAAGGAAGAAGTTGAGAAGTATATGAAAGAAGAAAGGAAGAAAAAGAAGAAAAGGGAAGAAGAGGATGGGAAAAACGGAGAAAGGAAGAAAGGAAGGAAGGAAGGGAGGGAAGAGGAAGGAAGGAAGGAGAAGTTGAGAAGGTATATGAAAGAAGAAAGGTAGGAAAGAAAGAATACAGAGAGAGAAGGAGGATGGGAAAGAAGGGAGAAAGGAAGGAAGGAGGAAAGGAAAGATAGAAAAAAAGAGAAGGGGAAGGGAAGGTGTCAAAAGGAAGGAAGGAAGAAAGGAAGGAAGGAAGGGGAATTTGGGAAGGGGATGAGAGGGAAAAAGCGAAGGAAGAAGAGAAAGGGAGGGAAGAAAAGAAAGAAAGAAAAGGAAGTCTGAAAGTCAAGAGCGAAGGAAGGAAGGAAAGAGATAGAGAGGGAAGAAAGGAGAGAAAGAGGAAGGAAAATAAAAAGGGAGGAGGAAGGAAGAGAAGGAAGGAGGAGAGAAGGAAAGAAAAAAGGGAAGGGAGGAAAGATGGAGCAAAGGAAGAAGAGAAAGAAGAGGGAGGGAAGGAAAGAAATAAAGAGAAGGAAGGATGGGAGCAAAAAGCTAAGGAAGGAAGTAAACAGGTAGAGAAGGAAGAAAGGAAAGAAGAAAAGGAAATGAAGGAAGGACTGAAAGAAGGAGAGAAAGAGGGAGAGAAGGTTGGCCACAGCAACACGTGGCGGGTAAAGCTAGTTATTATTATTTTTATTATTATTATTTAAAAAAATAAAAGTAAAGTATGGTGGAAATTATGACTCCACAGCAGGAATGAGCAATCATGGGGTTTGCATGCTTTGCACTTACCTTGTTGGAAGGAAATTGCCCCGTTGGGTCAAACTTATCTTGCCCACCCATGACAAAGACGAAGTCGTTCATGACAGCAACACAATGGTTATATGTGGGCCCACTGAGTTTCCCAATCTCTTCCCACGAATGGCAACTCTGATCTGTGGCCACCCAGACATCATTGCGGACGGTGTTGTCTGCAGACCTGCCACCGAGAACGATCAGCGCATGGACACCTCCTCGGACCTTCGTCCACTTGCTCTGGAGGATCGGCTGTGCGTATGGCTGGGAATGGTAGTTCAAGGCCTCCTGGAGATACCGGCGGCAAGCAGGCTCTGCCTTCATGATGGGCTCTTCCTGGACACATTCCTGCAAGTCTCGGAGTGGTATGAGGGGGAACCGGATTCGGCGTAAGAGGCCAGGCGCATTGTTGAGGCCTGTATTGTCTTGGTACAACCAGCTGATAGCTGCCTGGAAGAGTTCCAGCTCCGTGAGACCTTGCATGTCCTCTCTGTCCAGGATTTCACAAAGGGTGGCTCCATCCAAGTCCTTAAGCCGCGACGGATCGGACAGGATCTCTCCGCAATGCCTGCTCACGCAGCTGACCGCTTTCTCCCTCAGCTCCGCCGGGCCAAGACGCTTGGTGATCTTGAGGATTCGGAGGCAAGTCTGCGGGTCGAGGCTCTCCTCCAGGAACCGGAAGCAGAGTCCCATCACCTCACGCACCAGCAACACCTCAGCCGCCTGGAAGGTCTCCTCGATGGTCTGGAGGGTCAACGTAAGGCGGTTGGAGTAGATGAAAGAGAGGACGCTCTCCAAGCCTCGAGCCGAGGCAGAGGCGACCTTGAGGCAGCCGTTGCCACGTGCATCCTCCCTGTCAAAGCGCATCTTGCAGTAGCCGCTGGCTGCAGCCAGGACAGCCTTGTGGGCAGGGAAGGAGACCCCCTCGGCCTCCAGCGTCACGTCGCAAAAGATGTTCTGAGAGCGTTGGTTCCCAAGACCCTCCAAGAGTCTGGAGAGGTAGACATCCGAGGAAAGACACTGGCCCTCAGCATGGATTTGGCCATTGAGAGACATCGGCCACTTCAGCCAGAGGTCCACAAAGGATGGACAGCCAACCCTCTGCTCTCTTTCAACTCAGGGATTCACCGTCAAAGCCCAGAAGCATCCTTCTTGACCTCTGAATGGCCCAAGTGCCCATTCCCTTCCGCTCGGCTGTGTCCAAGGCTCATGTTTGGCCTTCTGTGTTGTCCTGTTTCAGGCTGCCAAGGAGACGTGTCCTTTCCAAGACAGCATTGGGTTCCCGTTCTGTTGGAAGAGACCCAAAGGTAGAGGGGTGGTGGCTCTTGGCCAGCCAGGTAGCAAGCCCAGGCTTGCCCCGGCTTCCCAGACCTCTTCGCTCAAGGAAGGGCACACACTGGGCCCCTTTGTGGCCCAAAGGCAGGCCTGGATGGGCTAGAATTTGGCTCCCAATGATCTCTCTCTCCCCATCAAAGTTGCAAGCGAGGTCTGTTCAACCCTGCACTTTCCAACAAGAGAAGTAATTACCCTTTGCTATATTGGGTTTTAGGTTTTTTGGGCTATATGGCCATGTTCTAGAAGCATTCTCTCCTGACATTTCGCCTGCATGGCAAGCATCCTCAGAGGTTTTGCTATATTATCCCCCCCACCCCCACAATGGCCAGTCTCTCCTTGAAAACAGCCGAGACCTCCTTTCTTCTGCTCCCTAGGGCTGTTCTATAACTCCACCGGAACCGTTCCATGTTTCGACATTTACAAGGAATACCGGAAGTGTGCCGACCCAACCGGCTGCGGGACAGGCTCCGATGCGGATGCGTGGGATTATCAGGTATGTGGGAGAGAGAAAAAGAAGAAACGCAGTTGCTCCATCATATCTTGCAACAGTGAGTTCTCCAGGCATCCAGTTAGTGACTTACGTTGGTGTTAAGTCACCAAAAGCAAGCTCTTAATGAGTTTGACAGTCTGTCCCACTTCTTGACTTCAGCTGCTCCAGAACCCATGGTTTTGCATTAATGGTCCTCCTGTCTGTGTCCCTGAAATCAAGAACAGAATTGTTGCATTTCCATTGAGACCAGAGACACCAGCAGCCCTTGCTTTATAGGATTCATAGCTCTAGGACCCATGGCTGTTGAACCAAAGCTTAAGTCCTGGGAATGTTGAAGAGAGATCTGTAGTAGAGTATCGCATATAGAGCCCCGATGTTATGATGGGTGGTGTAGTCTGTGGGTTTATCTACAACCTGTGGGTCTCCAGATGTTTTGGCCTTCAACTCCTAGAAATCCTCACGATAAACTGGCTGGGATTTCTGGGAGTTGTTGGCCAAAACGGTCAGAAATATTAAAAATTAAGTATTTTTAATTACAAAATGTGAGTCAAGCACAGAAAGGGTTAAATGGATGCAATGAAGCAGCAAAACCTGCTGTTCTATATAAGCAGGTGTGCCTGTAGCTTAGTAGGCCTCAGTCTGAGAGAGCCCTCAGTGGGAGAAAGGCCTCAGTGTGTGGTAGGCCTCAGTGTGTCAGTAGACCTCAGTTTGAGAAGGCCTTGTGTGAGAAGCTTCGATCAGATTAAGCCCCAGGTTGAATGCCTCGTGTGTAAAGCTACATGCGTAAAGCTCCAGTGTGTAAAGACTGTTGTGTTTCAAGCTACTTACTGTGTGAAGCTCCTGTGTAACTTCGGTGTGAGAGGAATCTCTGTGAGAGCGAAGCTGTTTATCTGTATGAGAAAGAAGCCCAGCATCAGGCATGTAGCCGGGGGGGGGGGGGGTCGGGGGGCTTCATCCCCCCCCCCCGAAATTCTCATGGTGGTTCGCGAAAAGGCCTTACTGGTGCATTATTTAAACTGTTATGTTTATTCATATCATGATCTGATCACCATACTCAATATATCCATATGCATGGGGGTATTGGGGTAATGATACAAAAGGTTTGCTAGGGTAGACCCTCTTTCACTCAGACTCAGCCCCCCCCCCCCGAATCGAAATACTGGCTACGGGGCTGCCCAGCATGGAAGCAAAGAAGGAAGTATAAAGGACTTTATTTGTGTTGTGGAAAGCTTGTTATTGTCAATAGTTCAACTATATTATTTTACTACAAAGAAAAGGAAGAGATAACATTGATCTGTGTGTTTTTGTTCTTTTATCACAGCTGGGTCATGATGCTACTAATAAGTTGCTCTGCTTTGTACTTATGGGAAGGGTCTTTTGTTTATAAGCCCCCTTACCCAACAAAAACACAGGGGGGTACTGTCGCTCCATCTCCTTGTCGAAAAGTTTTCTTTGTTTGTAAACTTCTTCTTTTTGCTGTGCCTAAAATACCTCCCCGCTTTAATGCAGTTCCTATTTATCTACTCACATTTGTTTTCAAGCTGCTAGGTTGGCAGAAACTGGGCTAAAGGTTAGATGCTCACCCTGACCAGGGCTTCAAACTGTCAACCTTCCGGTTGGCAAGATTTATAACCTGTTGTGCTAAAACCCGGCCCATGGAATTGGAAGTGCCATGAATACGGAGTGTGGATACACCCCCAATTTTCTCTTTTCCTGCTCTCCTTGACCAATATGGCTGCTTGAAACCCTTCTGTCTTGCTCCAGGCTTGCACCGAGATCAACTTGACCTTCGACAGCAACAACGTGACCGACATGTTTCCGGAGATCCCCTTCACAGAGGCCGACAGGGATGCCTACTGTTTCCGTAGGTGGGGTGTCCATCCGAGGCCCTCTTGGCTGAGCACAAGTTTCTGGGGCAGCGGTGAGCAGTGGTCACTCTTCTTTCCCTCCTCTCCTTCCCTATTGTATTAGTCAGCAGCAAGAAACCTTCTGGGCCAAATCTGGAAGTCTGCTGGTGGCTTCTGAGCATGTTGTTCAGGCCTGGTTCTGGGAAGGAGAGCTTGCAGGGCCCACCATCTTCATCAATATGGCTGCTGTCTGTTTCTTGGAGTGCCTCATTAGCTTTCTAGTTTGGCATTTGGTGTCCTTTTCGGCGACAGCGAGTAAACACCATTATCTCATTTGACGTTGGCAGATCTGGCCACTGCAAGCAACATAATCTTCTCCAACGGAGACCTGGATCCCTGGGCAGGAGGCGGAGTAAGTTTTCCAACCCTCATACACTTTCATTGGACTACAGCTGGGTTAGAGTGGGTCTGTTGGTAAACAAGGGCATGTTCTTACCTCTCTCCAAGCCCAGATACCCTCAAGGAATCAGCTCTCACCTGATCCTAGATCTATGGAGTGTCAGCCTTGGTTGGGACCTCAATGGGAAACCACCAATAAATACCAAAGGCTGTAAGATGGATTTAATAGGGGGGGAACGGGTGGAATCACTTCTTACCTAAGGAACACCTTGGAAATTCATGGGGCTGCCATGAGTCGATAGAATCATGTTGTTAGTACTACTAGTAGTAGTAGTAGTAGTAGTAGTAATACAAAATCCAGCATATATTTCTAATTTGCTGTGACATACTGTGTTTTTGGATCAGTAAAATAATAATAATAATAATAATAATAATAATAATAATAATAATAAATTACACAATATGAGGATTTAAAGATTGAATTTCAATAACAAGATGAGTCCACAGCAAACAAGGTCACTCTGCTGACTGCTGTATTGGATCACATGTCGGACCCTTCTCAAGTGTCTAGGACTGTGTGATGTATTGATGAATAATTATTATTTTGCTCTATTATTTTTCTCTATTATTATTATTATCATCATCGCATTTATTTATTTACTGTATTTATTTACTGTATTTGTATACTGCCCCTCTCAGCCCTCAGGTGACTCAAGGCAGATTATTATTATTATTATTATTATTATTAATAATAATAATAATAATAATAATAATAATACAGGGTTGCTGTAAGTTTTTCAGGCTGTATGGCCATGTTCCAGAAGCATTCTCTCCTGACGTTTTGCCCACATCTCACCTCTAAGGATGCCGGCCATAGATGCAGGCAAAATGTTGGGAAAGAATGCTTCTGGAACATGGCCATACAACTTGAAAAACTTACAGTAACCCAGTAATTCCAGCCATGAATGCCTTCGACAGAACATTATTATTACAATTACATTATTTTACTTTATTATTGTTATTTATTTTACTCTATTATTATCTGAAACCTAACAAGATGAGTACACAGCAGACAAGATCCCTCTGCTGGCTGTTATATTGAATCACATGTCGGACACTTCCCAAGTGTCTAGGACTTTGTGATGTATCGGTGAATAATGCGTGCAGATCCCAGTAGGGTGGCCTTTTGCAGCTGGCAGATGGTAATTTTGTCAGCACTGATCATGTTTAAGTGCAGGCCAAGGTTTTGAGGCACTGTACCCAGTGTGCCGATTGCCACTGGGACCGCCTTGACTGGCTTGTGCCAGAGTCTTTGCAATTATTATTATTATTATTTATTATTATTATTATTATATCACGGGATATAGTGTCTTTTTGGACTGTCATTCCCATAATCCCTCAGCCAGCTATATTCTGGGAGAGACAGTCCAAAATATGATGGATCTTCCCCAAGCCCAAAGTCAGTGCCCGGGCATACCAAGTGCGATTGGCAATATTTCAGAGGAGGAGACTGGCAAAACCACCACCGTGTCTCCTTTGGATAAGAAAACCTTGCAAAATCAATGAGTCCACGGGTGTCTTAAAGGCACAGGCACACAAATATTCCACATCTTTCCCTTGGCATAGCTGATAGGGATTGTGGGAGTTGGGAGTCCAAAAGAAGCCTGATCGTCTGATGTTTCCTCCTTTCAGATCAAAAAGAATCTGAGCTCCTCGTTGATCACGATCACAATTGCAGGCGGTGCCCATCACTTGGACCTTCGGTAAGTGCACCAGGGATGATCATACTAGGCAATGCATTTTGGCCCATTTGGAGGCAGGGATATGTTCTAGGACTTTCAGTGACCTGGACGCTTGCAACAATGCAAGCAGTGAGGCACAGCCAAAGACCTCCCAACAGCCTCTGTTGGAGGGGGTTGGTTTAGATGATCACTTTGGGTCTCTTCCCGTTCTGTGGCCCCTTCTGAATTCTCGCTGTCCCCACAGGGCTTCCAACCCAGCAGATCCACCCTCCGTCCGCGAGGCTCGCCTCCAGGAAGCAAGCCTCATCCTCGGCTGGGTGAGATCATCCTCTGCCGGAAGAAAAGAGCCTAAATGAGGCAGCCACTTGTGCCGGGAGTCTACAGTGCTGCAGAAGTGAGAAAAAGCACAATCCAAGCCCTCCTGACAGACGACCATCCAGCCTCTGCTGGAAAGCCTTGAGATTCCACAGCCGAACAGCTCTAATGGTCAGGAATCTTCCTAATAATGCAAAGGCAGAATCTCTTTTCCTGACTTTTGAATCCATTGCTTCTTTATGCCCTACTCTCCAGAGTAACGTGTCCTGTTGGAACAGTGACTCAGTCGTGCCAAAATAAAAGGGGAGAGGACGCCTCAGGAGCTTGGCCTACTGTTTGTATGTGTCCTGGAAGCCAGAGAAGACTCACATCCATTTTGGCCCAGTTCTGGCATCATAAGCTATGCCTTTCCTACTTTCTTCTCTTGCCCAAGCAGCTGGCTTTATTGCCATTGGCTTTTTGCAATTCAAACAGTCAAACTCAGCTGCCCAAAACCAATTGTGGTGAAAGCTAGAAGCAACTTGGTGGAAGTTGGCATCATTGCTGTGTAGTGGGAAGCCAGCAGAAGCGAATGAGCAATGCCAGTTGTCAGTAGCTCATCAACTGGCATTGTGGTGAAGGCTAGAAGCAACTTGAGGGAAGTTTCACTGCTGTGTAGTGGGAAGCCAGCAGAAGCGAACGAGCAGTGCCAGTTGTCAGTAGCTCATCAACTGACGTTGTGGTGAAGGCTAGAAGCAACTTGGGGAAAGTTGGCATCATTGCTGTGTAGTGGGAAGCCAGCAGAAGCGAATGAGCAGTGCCAGGTGTTAGTAGCTCATCAATTGGCATTGTGGTGAAGGTTAGAGGTGAGCAGCTGAGTTTGACAATTCAAGCTGTCAAACTCGGCTGCCCAAAACCAACTATGGTGAAGGCTAGAAGCAACTTGGGGGAAATTGGTATCATTGCTGTGTAGTGGGAAGCAAGCAGAAGCGAACGAGCAGTGCCAGTTGTCAGTAGCTCATCTACTGGTGTTATGGTGAAGGTTAGAGGTGAGCAGCTGAGTTTGACCATTCAAGCTGTCAAACTCAGCTGCCCAAAACCAACTGTGGTGAAGGCTAGAAGCAACTTGGAGAAAGTTAGTATAATTGCTGTGTAGTGGGAAGGCAGCAAAAGCAAACGAGTGGTGCCAGTTGTCAGTAGCTCATCAACTGGCGTTGCAGTGAAGGTTAGAGGTGAGCATCCTCATTCCGTTTCCTTCCAAGTGCAAAGTTCGCAATGTATGAGGGATATCCAGAAAGTAAGGATACTTTTGTCTTGTCGAAGTATTGTCAAAGGCTATTGTCGAAACTTTTGTCTGTTAGAGGCAAGCGTGAATGTTGCAAATGGCCACCTTGACTAGCATTTAATGGTTTTGCAACTTCAAAGCCCGGCTGTAAATAAAGAGCAACACTCAAAAAGCTGGGGAATTCCAGACAGGAAACAATCAGGGCCAGCTAATACCTCCCAACAAAGGATTCCCCCAAGCAGCAACCAGCCAGGCCTTGAAACTGTAAGGTCATTTAGTGCTAATCAAAAGGGCCATTTGCAACATCCACACTTTCCTCAAATAGTCAAGAGTTCTTTCCCCTACCCTGGATATTCCACAGATGTATAAACCTCACTTGCCTAGTTTCCAACAGACCCCTTAACCTCTGATGATGCCTGCCATAGATGTGGTCAAAATGCCAGAAGAGAATGCTTCTGGAACATGGCCAGACAGCCCAGAAAACTTGCAGCATTTGAAAGCAAAATTTAAATACTGCTGGAAGACGTCACAGAATCGGGCTTTAGAGAGAAGTAACTTTTGAGAGAACAGGCAGCTTTGGAGGGCTACTCTTTGTGAGACTGGTTTACTAAATGGAGAAGCAGTGTCCTTTGTCAGTGGATCCACTGAAAGAGATGAAGATTTCTACATCTATCTGGTTTGTTGTCATTGTTGCTGGGGTACCAGATACTGGACCTCGTGTGTACAAGGATGGTTCCTGCAGAAATCATTCCTGCTCCACTTGGAAGGCCTTCTGGGGGATACAGGTAGACTGGGCAGGGCTTGAATTACGCAAACATCTTCTGGCCATCCTGGTTGAATTTTGAGCAGAACGCCCAGTCCGTTCCAACCCCACGCCTTCCGGCGATAGCAACACTGCAACAGGGAAAGTCACACAGAGAAAGCAAGTGTCTCAAAATAAATTACCATTTATTCAGTGGATTCGAACTCTGCAGACTGGCTTCTAACACAAAAAGGGGCCTTTTGCCTACCTCTTCGAAAAGGATGAGGTTCACATACAATGTGTTGCAGAGTTGTAAGGGATTCTCCTACTCAACAGGTACGGCAGACCAGTGAACATGCCAGTAAGGCTTCGATAGGACAGTTTGGGGAAGGAAGACACCCAGATACATTGTTTCCTCACTTATCACACTCCAGGACCACCCGCGAAAAGTGAAAATCCACAAAGTAGGGACGTTATATATGTATATCATGTTCCGAGGGTGAGACGGAAGTGAGGAGAGATTTAAAGGCATTTCACACTTTTTTTTTGCTAACTATCTCTGCTTTGTTTTGCAATCTCTCTTGATTGGCTCCCTCTCTCCCGAGGGGGAGGGTGACACCCCCTTCCACATTCCATCGTTGCCACGAGGCGGGGTTAGGACGCCACTCTGGGCAATGGCAACCATTCATAAACTGGTAGGCAGAAACCCGCAAAACAGCAAGTCCGTGAAAAGTGAACCACGAAGTAGCAAAGGAACACTGTACTTCTAATGCAGCTCTGCAGAGAAAGGGGTTTTGGGGGGGTGGTCAGCACAGGGATGTGTGGAGATGTTAAACTAGGCTTTGTGTAATTCTTTCAGCATAGAAAACTTAAAGAACTCCCCTTCTTAACATGCCGGGGAGAGGAACGAGCCATGTTTACAGCTGGTGTTCAAATTGTGGATTGCAGACACCCCTGGGCTTGGAAATGCAAAACAAGGGGAATTTTGCCGAAGGGCTGAGCTTCAAAAGGTGAAGGCCAAGCTTTGCAAGGAAAACAGAAAAGTTGTTCCTAAAGGGGAGCGGGAATTACAGAACAGGAAGCTGGTTCTGTGGCTTTTCACCTCTGGGTCTGCAATCTGACGCAAGCCTTGAAGGTTCCCAAATTGGAAAGATCCTTTGGCTTCTGCCTCCGCAACTCCCTCGCCATGTTTCCAAAGCAGAAACATTTGCCTTCTCACTCCACAATCCCCAATTCGTTCAATGTAAGACATCAGGCAGGGTGCTAGAAATGATGATAGGCCCACCGCCTTTGTAGGGTATGGCTTTTAAATTCCAGGAGGGTCGCAGCTGTTCCCTTGCATGTGCCAGGACCTCTGCTCAATTGGTGCCTTAGGGCCCAGCCCAGCTAACAAAGCCTCAGTTTAAAATGTTGGAATGTTTTGTTGGGATTCAACCCCATACTGCCCAAGTCTCAAGTCCTCAATGAGGAACAGTTTAGTATAGACTAAGGGTTTCCTTTCCCCCATGTCTCCTGAATGACAGTTGGGAATGTATCTATTTACTCTCTGCTCTCATTCAGACTGGATCTGACTTCTGCCTTCTTGCACTTTTTAGTGGAGAGCATGTGCTGTGTGCTTTGAGTGATCTCTCTGCTTATGTGTCAGGACAGATGGAATTGAGTTTTCCCTTGCTTTGAAACCTTAGAAGAGATGGGTGTTAGAGTAGCTCAGACCCAGTTCTTGACTATGAAGAAATGCAGTTATTTCTTATTATCTATATCACGGGTCCTCAAACTAAGGCCCGAGGGCTAGATACGGCCCTCCAAGGTAATTTACCTAGTCCTCGTTCAGGGTCAACCTAAGTCTGAAACAACTTGGAAGCACACAACAACAACAATCCTATCTCATCAGCCAAAAGCAGGCCTACACTTCCCACTGAAATACTAATAAGTTTATATTTGTTAAAATTGTTCTTCATTTTAATTATTGTATTGTTTTTGTTTTTTGCACTACAAATAAGATATGTGCATGTGCATAGGAATTCATTCATGTTTTTTTCAAATTATAATCCGGCCCTCCAACAGTTTGAGGGACTGTGACCTGGCCCTCTGTTTAAAAAGTTTGAGGACCCCTGATCTATATAAATAAAAATGTAATGTTCGTTTGTGGGATTAACATAACTCAAAAACCACTGGACGAATTGACACCAATTTGGACAGTGCACCTTTCAGGCCAACGAGTGACCATCACTCATAACAACACGGAAAAACACTAGCGGAAGAGACTTAAAAAGCCAAAAAAGCTAAAAAATAAATAAATGATAGGGGGGGGGGGGGAGGGAAAGAAGAGGAGGGAAGGGGAGAAAGAAAGAAAGAAAGAGGAAGGAGGAAAGAAAGGAAAGAGAAAAGAAGCAGGAAGGCGAAGGAAGGAAGGAAAGAGTTAGAGAAGGAAAAGAAAGTGGAAGGAAAAAAAAGGGGGAAGGAAAAAGAGGTAAGGAAAGGAAGGGGGAGAAAGAAAGAAGGAAGAGGAAGAAAGAAGAAGAGAGAAGGAAGAAGAAAGAAAGAGGAGAAGGGAGAAAGGAAGGAAGGGGGAAGGAAAGAAAGGTAGAGAAGGAGAGAAAGAAAGAAAAAGGAAAGAAAGAGGGAGCGAAGGAAGGAGGGAACGAAGGAGAGAAAGTTGGAGGGAAGGAAGGAAGGATGGAAGCAAAGGAAGGAAGAAAAGAGGTAGAGAAGGAAGAAATGAGACAAAGAGGAAGGAAAAGGGGAAGGAAAGAGATAGAGAAGGAAGGAATGAAGGAAAGAAGAAAAGGAAAGGAAGGAAGGAAGGAAAGAAAGAAAGAGAGTGAAGGAAGGAGGGAAAGGAGAGAAAGAGGAAGCGAAGGCTGGCCACAGCAAGGCGTGGTGGGTACAGCTAGATGTAAATAAACCTTTTCTGTTTGTTTAAGATGGGACTCTGTATCTTTGCCTGACTAAGTTTTACATGATGCTCAACTTTTGTATCCTGTTTGTTTTTGGATGCTCTGCTTATACTTTAGGGTAGTCTTCCTAACATGTTGACTATATGTCTGTGGAAGAGACAGGACTGAAAAGAACCTTTTGCTATTTGGATAGCGCTGTGGTTATAACTGTGACCAACAGTGCTATGGATCTTGAGGAGGCACAAATAAAGGGCAAAAGGGAGAAACGGGCCAAGAGGAAGAAGGCGTCCCAAGCAAACCCTTGTTGTGATCAACCTCCATCTGGAACTCTATGTCCTCAATGTGAAAGACTCATCATGTGAATCCAGGTCTCCAAAGTCTCCTACAGACTCACCACCAAGACTCTATCCTTGGAAGATTCAGCCATTCGAATAGAACAGCTGCGGGCAGCAAAAGCCATAATCTGGAAAATGGGGCCAAAGTAATACAGTATTCCCTCACTTATCGCAGGGGTTCCATTCCAGGACCATCTGCAATAAGTGAAAATCCGAGAAGTAGGGATGCTATACCCAAATACAGCCAGAAACCTGGGACAAAGGCCCAAACACACCCGCTTCCAGCCACCTCCAGAAAAAACAGTGCCGGACACAGGGAAGGCATGCTGCCTAGCATGGCCGCCCACAGCCCTTTGAAGGCTGCCCGGAGCTCCCAAGGGCGGCCAAACCAGCAAATCGAGGGAGAGCAGAGTCCGCCTCCCATTGGCTGGCCACCCCACTGGAACTTCTCCTGCCACTGAGGGGGCTGTGGGAAGAGGAAGCCCCCTCTGGCACCTTGACGGTGGAATGAAGGCAAGGAGGGACGGAGGGAAGGCAAAAAGGAGGTGAGGAGGATGGATGTGGGGGCACCGGGCTCACCAGGAAAACCGCGAAACAGCGAGTCCGCTGTAAGCGAACTGCAAAGCAGCGAGGGAACACTGTAATTGATGGCAAGTCAGTGAAAGAAGCAAGACTAGAATTGTGGGCCCTGAAAAACTTGTTTTCTAGGCCTGAGGCAGCCTTGAATGCTCGCCCGCTTTTCTAGTTCAGTGTATTCAATCTAAATTTGAGGAGACTCAGAGCATCAAGAGTTTTTCTAACAAATTTGCACAGAGGAACATGCTACAGAAAAGTCTTCCTTTTCTCCCACGCGGCTTTTCTTTCCCCCCAAAATCTACTAATTTGGTCCCCAAAAAGAAGCCGCACCGTCCCTGTTGTTCATGCCCCACCAATTGGATAACTTCTTGATGGACTGAGAAACTTCAGGGCGGTTCCATCAGAACGGAGGCATGTGTGCAATTTCACCGAGACCACGCAGAAGAACCAAGAGTGGAGGGACGTTTCAAAAGAGAGCCTCTGAAATCCCACTCCCTTCCACAAGGTGGTAAGCACAAGCTACACAAAAACGGGCGCACAACATCGATATGGACGCCCATTCCCTTCCATCAGCGTTTCCCCAAGGCTTCCAAAACCCATTTGATTCACTTGCTGCCTGGGTTGGCTTTCTTGGCCGTCATTTCAAGAGCTCACTGTGGCTTTCCAACTCTCGGAAGCAAAGGCCAAGAGGAGCCAAAGCTTTCCAAACAAACCCAGAAAGGACAGCCACTTTGGATATCATTTTGCTCCCAATCCTGATATCTAGAGACAACCCGCAACATGGTTCACGTCTCTGGCAGCCTCAAGGAAGCAGCTCTTGAGCCTGGAATACCTGAGCCAAAACATCATTTATATTATATCTGTATCTATATATCTGTGTATATAAATCCCCATGTGGATATTTCCCCCTCCCTCCTTTCCCTCTGTTTACAGATGTAGTTTTTCACATTATCGTTCTGCATTTCTGCAGATTCGGTTAAGTGGCAGGAGCAGACACACCCTCGGCCCGTGCTCCGCTCTCCACCCAAACCAGCAACCTTTCCCCATTTTGCCAAGGGTCAATACGGCTGGAAAGGTAAAATGTGGTGCTGCTATTCAACCGAGAGCACCAGCCTCAGGGCTTGGAATGATACAGGAGAATTGGCCACAGCCCATATCCCTTTTTCCTCCACCTGTAAAGGCTCATCCGTCCGAATGGTTTCGGGAGGGATTTCTCAAGATGGACCACCTCACAGAGTCAACATTTCCAAAAATCTCTTCATCCCAGGACACAACAGGGAGATAAGACACAAGTGCGGTAGTGACTGTGTGCATGAGAAAGAGAGCGTTTGTGCCTGAGCGCCACCTCCACGATCCAAACATTCCCTTCCTTCAAACACATCCCTTGGCAAGAAGGGAACCTGTGCCGCTCTGCACACCTCCCTTCCGACCCCAACAAGCGGGGGACGCAGCCAAGACTTCCGCGGATCCTTTATGCCGAGGGCCAGATGGGGAGCGGGTGAGCCTCCGTGTTGAAGACGTACTTGTCGAGGTTGATCAGGTTCACGTCGTCCGAGAAGAGCAGGAAGAAGTACTTGAGTGTCTCCCCCAGGAAGAAGCTCTCCATCTTGTCCTTCGGCTCGGGGTTGCTGGGGTTCTGGACGTTGTTGATGGAGGTGTAGCCGCCCGTGGGGACCTGGAGGGGGAAATCCCCAAGAGACGAAATGAGACCTTGGAAATATCCAAAAGGGAAAGGAAGCGCTCCGAAACAGGGCAACCCATTAGTAAAAGAGGAATGGCAATGCTTCAAACTGGCCAATTCCTACATTCACACCTACCTCAAACAGACAAGAGTTCTTTCTCCCACCCTGGACATTCCAGATATATAAACCCCATTTTCCTAGTTTCCAACAGGCCTCACTCTCTCTGAAAGGGTTAAATGGATACAATGACCCAGCAAAAGCTGCAGTTCAATATAAGTAGGTGTGCCTGTAGCTTAGAAATCCTCAGTCTGAGAGAGATCTCTGTGAGAGAAGAGCCTCAGTATGTTAGTAGGCTTCAGTATCCCCTGTTTGGGTATCAGCCAGCACGTCAACAACTTAAATCAAGACATAGTTTTCTTAGATCTACAGAGACACTCACTGGAACATCCCAGCAAGCATGAGTCCAAAAGTGGCAGGCCCAAACCCAGCACCTCAATCCATGGGTGATACCAGATGAGAGACTCCCCCCTGGGCACACAGAAGACTGGGTGACTTGGAAGGCGCTGAACAGACTGCGCTCTGGCACCACGAGATGCAGAGCCAACCTTAAGAAATGGGGCTACAGGGTGGAATCCTCGGCATGCGAGTGCGGAGAAGAACAAACCACAGACCACCTGCTGCAATGCAACCTGAGCCCTGCCACATGCACAAGGGAGGACCTCCTGGCGGCAACACCAGAGGCACTCCAAGTGGCCAGATACTGGTCAAAGGACATTTAACCAAATACCAAGTTTGCAAAATCTGTTTTTTTTTTTGTTTTTTTTAATCTGTGTGTTTGTTTTGTTCTGTTAGAATTGTAACACAATGGTATGGTTGCTGATGACACGATAAATAAAGTATGAGAAGATCTTAGTGTTAGTTTGCCTCCATATGAGAGGCGTCAGTCTGAGAGAGCCCTAAGTATGAGAAGGTCTCAGTGTGAGGTAGGCCTCAGTGTTAGTAGGCTTCAGTGTGAGGTAGGCCTCAGTTTGAGAAGGCCTGGTGAAAGAAGCTTCTGTGAGAGATGCCCAAAGTTGAAGGCCATCTTGTGTGAAACTCCTGCGTGAAGGCTGCTGTGTGTAAAAAGCTACTGTGTGAACTTCGGTACCTCAAGCAGACAAGAGTTCTTTCTCCCACCCTGGACATTGGTGGGAGAAAGATATATAAACCCCACAGATATATAAACCCCACTGCCTCGCTTCCAACAGACCTCGCAACCTCTGAGGATGCCTGCCATAGATGCAGGTGAAATGTCAGAAGAGAATGCTTCTGGAACATGACTAGACAGCCCAGAAAACACACCACAACCCAGTTATTCTGGCCATGAAAGCCTTCAACAATACATGCTTCAAACGGTTTCCCCCCAGAGTTTCTACATAACATGGTTTTGCCATCAAAGTGAAAAGAAGATGGAAAATTGTGACTGGAAAAACTACTGCAGAAGAAATTGTATTACTATCCTCATCCTGCCTTTCCCCCAAAATGGAGACTTGGAATCAAAGACTCCTAGAGTTGGTAGGGACCCTCAAAGGCCATCCAGTCCAACCCCCTTCTGCCAGGCAGAAAAAGCACAATCAACACCCCCCCGCCCCAACAGATGGCCACCCAGCTTTTGCCTAAAAGCCTCCAAAGGAGGAGCCTCCACGAGAAACTGAGGCAGAGAGTTCCACTGTTGAACAGGTCTCATTACTCTCATAGGGTTCAACACCGTTTGTGGCCGCCACAAAAACAAATTTTCTGGAGTAGAACTACTTTCAAAGTAAGGACAGCACAATTAAACAGAAGGTAACACTTTCAAACCAGGAACAGAACATTTTTCAAATTGGTTTCGTATTGTTATTACTTCCACCAAAGGGCCCTGCTTTACCCGTGTGTATCTGTTGAAGCTCTGCAGGATCTCCCAGCCCCAGTCCTGGTACTTCTTGTCACCGGTGAATCGGTAGAGATAGAAAAGGCTCTCCACCGTCTCTGGGCGCAGAAGGTTGTGCCTGTCGGCTGCCTGGAAAAGAGGAGAGAAAAGGGTCAGGAAAGAACATGAGGTGGCCAGGGATGTCATTGCAAGAGGCACCATGAGGCCACCCTTCCCTTGACCAAAATGGCCAAAAGTCTGGAAGCCATGACTTCCTCTGAGGATATATTTAGCTTGGAGGAAAAGAACACTGTCTTCTTTTCCTCTTGAATTGCTTTGCCCACAATTGGAGACAGGGTTATTGCAGATAAGGTCTGACCAAAGCAGGAGGGCTGTCAGAAATATTAAAAATTAACTAGGTAGTTGTAATTACAAAAATGTGAGTCGAGCACTGAAAGGGTTAAATGAATACAATGACCCACCAATATAAGCAGGTGTGCCCTTAGTTTAGTAATCCTAAGTCTGTGAGAGAAGGGCCTCAGTATGGTATTAGGCCTCAGTATGAGAAGACCTCAGTGTTAGTTTGCCTCTGTACGAGAGGCGTCAGCCTGAGGGAGTCCTCAGTGGGAAAAGGCCTCGGTGTGAGGTAGGCCTCAGTTAGCAGGCCTCAGTTTGAGAAGGCCTGGTGTGAGAGACGCCTGAAGCTAAAGGCCATCGTGTGTGAAACTCCAGTGTGTAAAAAGCTACTGTGTGAAGCTCCTGTGTAACCTCAGTGCCTCAACCAGGCCCCGCCCCCCTGTGGCACCAACAGCTGCTCTGACCAGAGCGAAGACAGAAGGGAGCAGAAGACATTTCCACCTTGTCTTTACTAATAATATAATATAGTATATTGTATATACATATAATATTTATAATATTATAATATAATACAATATAATACTAGTAATAATACAATATTATAATTATATATTTACATTACATGTAATATTACTAATAATATTACAATATAATGGTATAGTGCAATATAGTAATATATAATACTGATATTGTACTATGCTAATAATATAATATATTGTATGAAAATATATATTGTAAGCCGCTCTGAGAAGGGCGGCATATAAATGCCGTAAATAAATAAATACATAAAAACTAGACAAGAGTTCTTTCTCCCACCCTGGACATTATTACACAGATATATAAACCTCACTGCCTCACTTCCAACAGACCTCACAACCTCTGAGGATGCCAGCCATAGATGTGGGCAAAACGTCAGGAAAGAATGCTTCTAGAACACAGCCCAGAAAACTCACAGCAACCCAAGATGTATGTTGCAAGCAGCTGCTTCTAGCTACAAGACACAAGGGGAAATCCAGTCCCATTGGTTTTTGTGGATCTCCCCTTCACAGTGTTGGCTCATGTCCAACTTGTGGTCTGCTAAGACTCCAAGATCTCTTTTGTGTGGACAGCTGTTGAGCCAGGTCTCAATGGGAAAGATGGTCTAACACAGTCACTGAAGTAGATGGTGCGCAGATGAGCCCCTCTTCCCATCCTTTCTTTCTCCAGCAGCGATTAAACCTGATATTTCCCAGGTCTCCTTCCTCCTAATAGTTGGAAATGTCAGATGAGCCCACCTGGCTACAGATATGGCCCAGAGGGAAGCATTTCCAAGGGCCGCCCAGGAGGCTCACCTTGATCTCTACGTCTTTCCGGTCCTTCTGGGCGTGCAGGTTGAAGTGGACGATCTCTGGGCTCAGGCCGGTCTCCACCTGGGCGTACATCTGGTAGCAGGTCTCCGCCAGCTCTGCCGCCAGGGTCATGTGGTCCGCAGGGAGGCCGTTGTGGGCCCCCAGAGCCAGGGCCCCGGGCAGGAAGCAAACCAGGTGATCCTGCTCAGGACAAGCGGGAGGTCAGTGAGGGCCAATTTGCGTTTGGAAATTACCCAAGACATCCTTTCTTTAATGAAAATGGGGTCAAGTATATGACGAAGCCGAAGCATCTGACCAGGAAGATAAGAGGCGTGCATGGCACTCTTAACTTGGATCTGTGGCATGAAAACACTTTAAGGGGTGCCTTCCTCCTGTTCTCCCCGCCTCCAGACTCGTTGAACCTCCCCAAAACGAAGCAAGCCTACCATTTTGGCACTGAAGCGTCCATGGGCGAGCTCCCCGACAAAAGTCAGTCTCTTGGGCTGGGACTTCCGGAGAAGGTGCGCTTTCACCCCCTCGATGCCTTTAACGTAATCTTCCAAAAGCCTGCCATTGAAAACACACACAAAACGCAGTTGTTGTTTTAAGTCTCTTTCCCTACAACAGGGAAGGAAAAGATAGGGCTTGGTGAAAGGCCGGGACACGGGACAGGTTTCTTGTAATTATTTATTTACTTCACTTGTATACCTCTTTTCTCACCCGGGGGGGGGGGGGGGGACTCAAAACAGTTTCCAACATATTTATGGCAAAATTGAATCCCCCACATACATATGAAACCCAACATAAAACAACAATAACATATAACTTTCAATTAGGTCACAAAAATGCCACAACATTTCAACATTTGACAATGGAACTGGACAATGCTCGATAATAATGAGACGCTAATGATGTTGTTTTTATTGCTTTTGTGGTGTTTTATATTGTTTAATGTTTTAATCTGTATTGGAGCCCCCGGTGGCGCAGTGGGTTAAACCCCTGTGCTGGCAGGACTGAAGACCGACAGGTCGCAGGTTCGAATCCGGGGAGAGGCGCATGAGCTCCCTCTATCAGCTCCAGCTCCTCATGTGGGGACAGGAGAGAAGCCTCCCACAAGGATGATAAAAATATCAAATCATCCGGGCGTCCCCTGGGCAACGTCCTTGCAGACGGCCAATTCTCTCACACCAGAAGTGACTTGCAGTTTCTCAGGTCACTCCTGACACGACAAAAAAAAAAATCTGTATTATGTTTTTATATGTACTGATTTGTTGGAAACCGCCTTGAGTCGCTGATTGGCTGAGAAAGGCGGTATACAAATACAGTAAATAAATAAACATTGAAACGTGGAGTTAAAAACATATTAATATTAACATGAAAATCACATATTGTAATCCAAAAATCGTAGTCGAAGCCATTCCAAATATCAATTGCACTTTTTTTTTTGTCGTGTCAGGAGCAACTTGAGAAACTGCAAGTCGCTTCTGGTGTGAGAGAATTGGCCGTCTGCAAGGACGTTGCCCAGGGGACGCCCAGATGATTTGATGTGGCACATAATCCCTGATCATTCTTTGTATTGCTTACTGCCCAAAGGCTTGGTCCCATAGCCAAGTTTTCACTTTTTTCTGAAGGCCAGGAGGGAGTTCCACAGCCAAGGGGCCACCATTGAGAAGGCCCTGTCTCTCGCCCCACCAACCACACCTGCGAGGGAAGTGGGATCGAGAGCAGCGCTTCCCTGGATAGTGTTAACCTCCGAGGTGGTTCATAGGGGGAGATACGTTGGGACAGGTAAGCTGGGCCAGAACTGTTTAGGGCAGGGGTCCTCAAACTTTTTAAACAGAGGTCACAGTCCCTCAAACTGTTGTAGGGCCGGATTATAATTTGAAAAAAAATATGAATGAATTCCTATGCACACTGCACATATCTTATTTATAGTGCAGAAACACTTAAAAACAATACAATAATTAAAATGAAGAAAAATTTTAACAAATATAAACTTATTAGTATTTCAAAGGGAAGTGTAGGCCTACGTTTGGCTGATGAGATAGGATTGTTGTTGCTGTTGCTGTTGTTGTGTGCTTTCAAGTCATTTCAGACTTAGGTTGACCCTGAACGAGGGCCGGGTAAATGACCTTGGAGGGCCGGATCCGGCCCTTAGTTTGAGGACCCCTGGTTTAGGGCTTTATAGGCTAAAGCCAGCACTTTGAATTGTGCTCAGTAGCAGACTGGCAGCCAGTGGAGCTGACCTAACAAGGGGGTTGTGTGCTCCCTGTACACCTGGATGAGAAAGAAGAACTGTGTAGATGCGGCTGGACTGTCTCTCCCAGCAACCCAAACCAATGTGAGGAAGGACAGGACTCGCAGTTCAGTAATACCTGGAAGCCTGGCATAACTGCTACCTGCTTTAGTTGTCAGAACTTATTGTCAAGAGCTCAGCCTTTCCAGAACCAGGGTCAAAGAGAGGGAAAAAGTGCAGGGCCATTCAAGAGCAAGGAGAAAAGAAGCCCCGAGGACCCAAATGTGGTGGCTCAGTCCTAAGGGAAGCCCTGAAGTCCCCCCACTGACAGCCACGTCCGTGCCAGAGCATAGGGAAAGGAAGCTAGAGCAGAAAGAGGTACTGACGTGTTCTCCTTCTTGCCTCCCTGGATCCACTGCTTGAGCAGGTACTCATAGTAGCTGTCCGCCCGAGCCCCCAGCGTGTAGACCCCCAGGTGGGTGAACTGCCCAGTGTTGGTGTTGATGAACATGGGCACCAGCCCGTCGTTCTTGCCAGCAAGAGTGTGGACATGCGCCATCACCCCATCCACAGCTTTCTACGAGAAGGAAAAAAGAAAAGGAAAAAGAAATCAGAATCCTAGAATCCTTCAGTTGGAAGAGGGTCCCTTTCAACTCTAGGATTCTATGGGGACTAGATGTAAATATAGGTTGCTTACCTGTAACCGTAGTTTCCCGAGTGGTCACCTGTGAATTCGCACATATGGTAAAATATGGTAAAAATATGTAGCCCAATGAAAATTAAAAAAAAACAATAGTCAAAACTACTCCTAGTCTATAAATGATGTAAAAGCTAGTCTAAAGAGCAAGAGACACCTAAGCTGCTGCAATAGCGGCGGATAAGAAGAATTGAGGCGGTGGCTCCGCCTACCTGCTACTTATACTCACAAGGGGAGAGTGGGCGGGGCCAACCGCCAAAGTTTTTCAAATCGATGTAGAACAGTGTTTCTCAACTTGGGGGTCAGGACCCCTGGAGGGGTCGTGAGGGGGTGTTAGAGGGGTCGCCAAAGACAATTAGAAAACACAGTATTTTTTGTTGGTGGTGGGGGTTCCGTGTGGGAAGTTTGCCCAAATTCTACCGTTGGTGGGGTTCAGAATGCTCTTTGATTGTAGGTGAACTATAAATCCCAGCAACTACAACTCCCAAATGTCAAGGTCTATCTTCCCCAAATCCCACCAGTGTCCACATTTGGGCATATTGAGTATTCGTGCCAAGTTCAATCCTGATCCATCATTGTTTGAGTCCACAGTGCTCTCTGGATGTAGGTGAACTACAACTTCAAAACCCAAGGTCAATGCCCACCAGTATTTTTCTGTTGGTCATGGGAGCTCTGTGTCCCAAGTTGGGTTCAATTCCATCATTGGCGGAGTTCAGAATGTTCTTTGATATTGTATGTGAACTATAAATCCCAGCAACTACAACTCCCAAAAGACAAAATCAATCCTCCACTCAATCCCACCAGTATTCAAATTTGGGTGCATTCAGTATTTGTGTCAAATGAATGAAAATACATCCTGCATATTGGATATATTCATAACAGGAGCAAAACTACAATTGTGAAGTAGCAATGAAAATAATGTTATGGTTGGGGGTTACCACAACATAAGGAACTGTATTAAGGAGTCGCGGCATTAGGAAGGTTGAGAACCACTGATCTAGAAGGTTCCAAAGCTGTCTGCTCAGACGCAGAATTTACCATATGTGCGATTCACAGTTGGCCACGATGGGAAAACATATGCAATCAAAAGACATGGATTGCTCATCCTTCAAAAGAGAAGACCTGGATGGCCATCTGTCAGGAGTGCTTTGAATGCAATTTTACTGCTTCTTGGCAAAATGGGGTTGGACTGGATGGCCCAAGAGGTCTCTTGGAACTCTAGGATTCAATTATTCTGTTATTGGAATGGATGGCGAAAACTGGTGCCTCTGGGGCCCAGCAAATGGATACAAGGGACATCAGCTCAGGAAAAGAGAGACAGGAACCCTGTGAATGCTTTGCCCCCCAACCCGTACCTGGTATTTCTCCTCCCCAGTGAGACGGGAGAGCTCCCGAAACTCCAGCTGGATGCTGGTGACTTCAGCCACAGTGCTGTCCGAGGTCCAGCGGGGCGGGTGGGCTGTGCCCCGGCCAATGTTGACATCCGAGAAGGGGATCTTGGATGGGGTGTTGAAGGCCGGCATGAGCCTGCTCCCAATGTCTTTCTGAAGAGAGAAGAAACATATTCAGCCAGCATGAGATCATGCTGACACAGAGGACCTCAAACTGTCTGCTGCCAACTTGGAAGCCCAATGCTTTTTGTGTGGCCACACTGGGCCGCTTTCAAACTTTTGGCCATTCTACACATGCTTGTTTATAAAAGAAACCCAGGTCAATACAGATACCATATAGCCCCCTTCAACCTTTCTCTAACCTTGCTTTGTTTGGCTTTCATCGTCCAAACTCAAGGCAGCTGTGGCTTCCTTGATGGAACCAATCCATGATGGCAACAGTCTTGGACAGCAATGGCGCCCAAAGTGATCCATTTAAGGTGGAATCAGGTGTCAAACAGGGATGTGTTATTTCCTCAACCTTATTCTCCATCTTCACCACTATGATACCTCATCTTGTTGATGGGAAGCTTCCCAACGGAGTGGAAATCATCTATCGGACAGATTGCAAGCTATTTAACCTCAGCAGACTGAAGGCCAAAACCAAGGTCACAACAACATCTGTTCTAGAACTCCAGTATGCTGGTGATAATGTAGTCTATGCACATTCAGAAGACCTACAAGCCACTCTAAACACCTTCACAGAAGCTCGGACTCTCACTGAACATCGAGAAAACCAAAGTTTTTTTGTGATAAAATTAGGTGCCTCGGCTTATATTCGGGTTGGCTTATACTTGAGTACATACGGTATATAGATTCCTCTGTAGCCCAAGGTCCCTTTCCCAGAGCTGTAAGAGGGTTAGTAAACAGGCATGTCCTTGGACTGGAACTCCCAACAGCGATAGCGAATGGTGGGGAATGCTGGGAGACACAATACCCTCCCAAAGGCGCCTGGGAACAGCTGCTCACCGCTTTTTCCAGGAAGAGGCTGTCGCCAGACAGGTGATAAGTGCTCAGCAAGCCACCCAAGATCCGAATGGCGCTCTCAAATAGGTTGACGTCCACATTCTTATCAAACCGGAGTTCGGTGGCGACCCACTGCCGGGCCTCGGCAAACTCTGCATCGAAGGAAAGGATACCAGAGAGTATCAACATGACATGGTCCTAGCTATTCTTTGGAGGCAAAGGTACCAGGAAGCCTGCCCTGTGTTTCCCTGACTTTCTTGCACATGTAATATAATGTAATGTAATATAATATAATATATTGTATATACATATAATATTGATAATATTATAATGTAATACAATATAATAATACTAATAATATGATATTATAATTATATATTTTATATTAAATGTAATATTATTAATAATATTACAGTATAATGTTTTAGTACAATGTAATATTTAATATTAATATTGTGCTATGGTAATAATATAATATTTGGTATTTACTTGTTACTTGTAAGCCACTCTGAGTCCCCTTCGAGGTGAGAAGGGCAGCATATAAATGTCATAAATAAAAAAAATAATTAATAAATAAAATAATAAATAAATAAAATGTATGGCCCACGAGGTTAAAAATGGCTGCCAGTGAAACACAGGCAAGGGTGCCTCTGCAAAGGACTCGGAAAGGAGTCCTCCTAAGATATCCTAATAACAAAATAATAATAAAACTTTATTTATATACTGCCCTATCTCCCCTCAGGAACTCAGGGCGGTTTCCAGAGACATAAAACATACAGAGTAGCCATTAAAATATAAATATAACCTGTTAACAACAATCCTATGCATTAAAAACAAACCAATTTATAAACCACTAACCATCCCCTGCCACATGTTGCTGTTGCCCAGTCTGTGTATATGTGTTTTGTGTGTGTATATGTGTGTGTATGTATGTGGTTTTGTCCATGCGTTTTGGCCTTTTAAGTTCCTTTTGCTGTGTTTTCCAGTGTTTTTATGAGTGATGGTCACTCGGTCTGTTAGGTGTCTTGTATCCGAATTTGGTCTCATTTCATGCAATAGTTTTTGAGTTATGTTAATCCTACAAATGAACATTACATTTTTATTTATATAGATTGTGCAAACGCCCTACTAATATGTGGGGCAGGACAGGATTGAAAGGGCTGATCATGGTTCCTATAGAAGTAATGAGGCCAGAGGAACGAATAAAGTGCCGGAAGTGGATCTGATTACTGGCCAGGGTAGGGTCTGGGGCTACTTTTTTCCAGGGCCTTCTTGCAATTTTGATGAGAAAGGTCTAGGTCGTGAACCAGTGTCACGACATGGGGGAGGAACAAGGGAATGAACAAGGTGCTAGTTCAGCCTTTACTACTGACGACATTTATATGCTGCCCTTCTCACCCTGAAGGGGACTCAGAGTGGATTGTAAGATATATATACATACAATATATTATATTATTATTAGCA